AGAACAATGTTTGTCTCCTGAAAGTGGGGATAGAGAGGGAAAGATTATGGCATCCTTTTATGTGACAGACTGAATTATATTAAAAAAAGCAGATCCAGTAGTTTCTCAGAGGGCTCAGGCCTGCAAGATACCAAGTGCTCTGGCCAAGCACTTAAATGCATACTTAACTTTTATGTATGCAAGTTGAAAATTAATTACTGGCTGAAGTGCTTTCCTGGATCGAGGCCAACGCTTTGCAGGATTGAGGCCATCGCTTACATAAATCTCATACAATCTAGGAGAGCACAGAGCATTGGAAGAACAGTCCAACACACTAATTTAGCATAAACTGGGGATCTGGAGCAGGAAAAGCTAGGTAATGTATACGTTTGCTATGACAGAGCGAGTAACAAATTCAACTGATATGAGGAGTCTATGATCACTTAATCCAATTTTTCCCCAAATTACCTTGCCTGACAATGCCCTCTCCTGACTCCCTCTTCCACTCGAGCTCCCAGCCTCTCCTCTACAATCAGTGTGCTCAAGCTGAGAGCAAGGAACGACTCTTTCCACCAGGAGCATCTCTTCCGTATTTTTGCAAGCGCCCTGCAGTTGAAGAAGCATCATCTTAAACTACCCCACAGAAGTCTGGCGATACATGGGGCTGCATGTGGGCTGTTAGCACTGAAGCAAATTTCAGTCACACCGGATAGAGTAACCTAGGAATTAGCGGACTTTTTGACTTTGAAGATTTGTTTTATTTTGTGAAGTTAGTTTGACTGCATTAAAGCCAGAAACAAAGAACTCAATAAGGGCTCCACAACTGTTCTGAACATCTCTTCTCAGTTTTACACCATAATCCAAAGGGAGCATGCAGTGTCTAACTCTGCCTGTCTGAAAGGAAGATTCTAAGTCTGTTTGATTCCATAGGTTAAAACTGATTCAGGTAATTTAGATGCATTCCTTTGCTGTTCATCTATACTACATGGATGACACCAAACTGGGGGAGCGGGCAATGCACTGCAAGGCAGGGCTGCTTTTCCAAGGGACCATGAGTGCAGTCAAACACTCGAACAGGTTGCACGAGGAGATCTCTTTCCTTGGAGGTGTTCAAGATTCAGCTGGACACAGCCCTGAGCAACCTGATCCAATTAGACTGGCTTTGAGCAGTGGGCTTGACCAAATGATCTCCAGAGGTCCATTCCAACCTAAGTTATTTTTTTTAATCTACTGAAAATTTGACACTGCCAGAGGTTTGGTGTCGGTTTTTTTTTTTTTTTTTTTTTTTTAATAAACTGGCTGCAATGTGTATGTGACACTGACATATCACTACAGCACTTCATGCAATGCAGAGTATCCTAATCAGAGACCATCCAGAAAGCCAGATACATTGTCACTGCACATTACCACTCAGTTGGCTTCTTTGAATGGAAGGGAGGAATGTTTCACCCTCTGAAAGATCTTAAATCTCAATACACGTAGTATCTATCTGATGTTTTTCAGCATCTTCAGACAGTTACACAAACCTGTGTCAGCACATTCACACACATACATATCCAGAAGCCTGTATCAGAGAGGGCAGACAGTCCTGCTTCCTCTGAATAGATGGGTTTGCTAAACTCGGACTAAATCACAGGAACAAATGCACAAGACACCTTGTGTGTTACTCTGCATTCAGAAGGGAATCAGTCCTTTGAACAAACTCAAGATTTCAGTGGACGTTTCCCCTTGAAAATGCAGCCATAACACTCTCACAGCATATAAGAGTTTTGAGGCTTTTCTTCATAAAATATAGCATACTGAATAATGGACTGTTTTAGGTTTGGATATATACAGTACTGCAAATAAGAAGTTCTCTCCCATTCTTCCTGAAGCAGAAAGCTGAGATAAATATTTACCTCAATTGTTCATAATATTTTATTTCTTGTCTCTTTACAGAATCTCCCATAGCCTATAGATTTGTGAGGTATTCTGAATTATATTTATCTCAGTTTTTCAATCTGTGTCTCAACAAAACTGAATCTATATGGAGGAGTTAAATATTTATATAATGGGAAACTTCAAAAGCAAACACAAGAAAGCAGCAGGAGGGTGCTCTGTGTCACTGATCACGGACCACAAAAGTGGAGAAAGAGATTTCTCACTTTTAGGCAGGCCATCTTTTGGGTCTATTTTAACTAAGAAATCTTTTGGCATTGCTTAATTATCTGCTCTCTGATATTTATATTAGGCAAGAAAATGATGACATACAACTTTATTTTAGGGTATGTAAACAAAACCAGAGGCTTATTCAGCCATTACCCTGCAATGCTTGCCGAGAACATTCATCTTCTGGCACACAGCTGTCTTCGATACATGCAAACATAAAATTAAAACATCCTTTTTCATCTAGGACTTCCACAGAAAAAAAACCCTAAAAATTCCACCCTGTGGTCCTCAAAACAGATTTTTACTCAAGCTTAAATCACAAGCAATGGATGTTTAAATAGAGAGCTTATTTACAGGGAATAACAAGAGGCAGATTCCCACATGGGAATAGCAAACCCATCCTTCCAAAATCCTGTAGTTCCCCTTTCTCAGCACTCCAGAGGAGGTGAAATCTAATATCTGCCAACTCAATTCTGGGAATTCCCTATGCCAGACGGCTTAGTTACGTGTCCCAGTACAATTAGTGCTGTTACTGGACATGCCTTAAGTGTTGCACATCTGGCTCTTCCTGATTGTACTGAAGCCTCTGCAAAGAGGACAGAAAATGCTTTTCTGTCTTGCCCGTTTACCCTCTCTCTGCCATACATTTAAAAATCAAAACACTTTTCATAATGTCTCATAGCACAGCCAGAAAGCAATATCTGCCTGCAATATTCTGCAGATTTTCATTTATTACCTCGATTATACTAGCATTTAGTGTCTGCAGAATACTGGTTGCCCTATATACTTATATATAAAAGGATAATTTGGATACCCAGGTAGAAAACATAAAGACAAAGTTGTAGGAAGGGGGAGCTTGAAATCTCTGCCTTGTTGCCATCCAGTCATCTCACAAGTCACCTCATGCTCCAGAATGGCTGATGATCTCTGCTAAGTTCATTGATGATCCAGGAAAGGTGCTGGCAAAGGGGTTTGGGCTAGCATTTGAGAGGAGACATTCATATAGGGATCTGCCCACACAGCATCTGCTTTACATATGTGCTAATCCCTCTACCATTAACTCTACCTATTTTTTTTATCAGAGTTTTTAAAGCTGAATAGGGAGATGAGGACACCCAGTTTCCATTATAATTAGCACTACTGGTGAGTCCAGATGCAGTAGGTTGTTTTGGAAGCCTAAAGAAAGTTTAGAAAATGGGAGCAAATGTGTGCGTGAAAAGGGCAGGTGGAATCTGAGGGCTTTCTTTTAATAAGTTTAGCACAGGCATCACAGTCCTTTAACATAATGCAATAATACAGCACCACAGAAGGACTCAGAACACATACAATCCAACAGGACACACAATATCTTAACTATCACATTAGGAAAAACATGACATATTGTGCACAAAACAAACAGCAGTTCTAAGAGATTTTCCCACATGTCTCATTTGTGCTTTGCTAGGGCAACAAATCCAGTTTCTACCCATCTGTTGGATCATAAGAGCCCATCAACAGGCCAGATTGAAGTTTATTGACATGGGTTGCCCTGGTGCTGCTTCTGGCTTACTCCCTTTTGTATTAATATTTCATATTCTTAAAAAAAACCCAGAGAATAATAACTAAGGCAAACATGACAGATTAAAAGGACAACATGTATTTTTAAATACCATTGCCACCTAAGATTAATTTCAATCAAACAAATCTGATGAATAATACAAAGACCCTCCATTTCCCTTGTAATAAGACTGTCTTTACCATTTTCCTTTCTGGTGAGTACTTCCAGTAAAGCACTCACTTACTTGCTATTTCAGAATTACTAATCTGCCATATTCTAACCCCAAACCATCGGGTTTACTTGTAATATTATTCTGATAACTGCTCTGCTACCAAATGGACCAGACAGAACTTCAGCAGTCCACTTAATATCCTTCACATAAATTCACACACAAAGTAACATTTCAGAACCAGAAAGATCAAGTATATTTTGATGTGACAGTGCCACTTTAAAACCTGTCCAACCCAAAAGCCCAATCTGTTCTAAAAGATTTACCAGAAACCAGTAAATAGCTGTAGTTTATAATATTTTATATCAGCAAAAATGTACTTTTACTGCTGTAGTTTATGCAGTTCTGTCAGCAAATAACACACTAGCCTCACAAAAACATGCATTTTTTTTGCTGGTGCAAAATAGTAATGCAGGAATAGAGATATTTTACTTTTTTTAATTGCACCCCTAGCAGATCTTATCATACTGGCAAAACTTCTTGTGTAGATCGAAGTTCAGTCTTCAGATACGGTTAGTCAAATTAATTTGCATTATTATGATTGTTTGCTATTCTCCTTGCTAAAGGCTGACCCTCTAACAATGAGTAAAATTACGAGCTGATTAACTTGTTTTCTTGCTCAACAGAGTAACAAGTATAGGGAGGTAAGCCAACTTTTCCCTCAAATCCAGACCCCCTCAGCCATGGGATGAACCTCCTGCTGCTCCGAGCATCCCAGAGTTAGGTGCTTGTGTTTAAACTACACATTGACCTTCCATACAGCTAATGAGGAAAAGTAGGAACTTGTAGAGAAGATCACATGCATCACATGGCTGTCTTTGTACAACATGGCTTGGTCCACTGGAAAGGCTGACACCTCTCCATTGAGACGGGAGTCTCAGCTGACTAGCAGGGTCTAGGCACCTCATTTTTTGATGCCTGCTTTGGAACAAATGAATTCCCTCCAGATGAAATTTAATTATAAAGAGCATCTGAAGTGATGTGGCAGACAACATAAGGATAGCTAAACTAAGCCCCACCTTTGGGTTGGCACTCTTGGCCAGCAATAAGAAATAATGCCATTCCTTCACCAGGTGGCAGAAAAACTACTTTCTGCATTCAACTTACTTGAGCAGGTTGCCGAGATTGAAGAGAGCTCGATTGTGCTGAGGGTTTAACTGAAGGGCCCGTCTGTAGTAGTCCTTTGCCTCCACCACGTCTTTGGTCAATGTCCCCAAGTTGTTGAGAGCACTTGCGTGACGAGGGTACAGTCTAGGAAAAATGAAATATCAAGTTACAGACGCTCATTAATTGACAGATAATGCTCAAGTCACTAATGCCACCACCACTGCTATTTGCCACTTGATAGAGGGAAGGATGACAGCTAGGAGACGCTGTTTTCCCTGCATTTGCTGCAGGTCCTGATGGGATCCTGATGAACCTTTTCAACTCCCAAAGAGATTGCAAATGAGGTCTTTTCCTACAGATCCTATATGCTTCCAGGGCAAAAGGGAACACTGAACAGCTTTGAAAGCCTATTTTACAGTCCAAGCAAAAGGGAAAGTGACTAAAGCAGCTTGAATATTTTTATTCAAAACATTTTTCAAACAAGCAAGAACTACTTTGTCAAAAATATGCTTCCAATGGAAATATGTTTTGATGTACACAGAAGCCAACACAACACTGTTTAAATTGATCTGTTTTGATTTTTTTTCAAAACATTTTTTTCACAATAAAAGTGATAATAAAGTGCAAAAGGAAAGCTGAAATTAGCTGTCGAACAATGTTTTCAGGACCAAGCAAAATTATTAAAAAAACTTGAAACATACTGCTTAACAGTAGGAATTCCCTAAGCTTCTAGTTGTATTTTTTACCATTTGGTTCAGTTCTCCTTTTAACTGTTCTGTTGATCTTTACATCTACCTGTTTCAGTTATAAAGCTACATATTGGACTCAGTGCATCTCTGATAAAACTCCCCATGAATTAAGAAGCACATTGTGGTCCATTCAGCTGCTTAAATTCTCAAAGTTGTGCTCCTACATTAATATTTTGGTTTGTAGGTCTTCCTCCAGAAAACTCCAGAGGCAAAAGTGATTCAGGACAAGATTTAGCACCCTGGACCCTTTGTGTCATAGACAGGTGAAAACCAAGGTTCATGATAAATCTAGGACAGTAGCCCACAGAGGTCCCAGGCAAGCTGTGAGACCAGCTGTGCAGGAAGGTCTGATGCTCTGGTATGAAACAGGGCACAGGTACTTGCCCACTGAACTCCTCCAGACGATTACCTCATCTGTGATAAGGAGGAAGGGGGTTAAGATGGTCAAGGCTTCGGTTTGAGAAGAGCTAGTTGCAAATTCTGCTGCCACTGCAGATTTTCTATTTCGGACCAGGACAAGTCATCAGACATTTCTTTGCCTTAGGTCCCTTTTAATGGGAAAGTGATGTGGCTAAAGACATTAAAAATTGGCTATGATAGCCCAGAGTATAGCACAAGGAGGGGCATGTAAAGGAAGAAGAAGGGATTAAGACTCTATAATATAGCCTAACTCTAAAGTTTGCAACTGTTTTTAATCTAAGACTTTCCATGGTGGGTTTTTTTTGCCTGGAGTTTTTCATTATGTCAGTTCAGTCCTGGGATTTTCTGTGCTTAAGTACCATGAATAATTTAGCATTTTATACACTGCTGCAACATTTGTATCAATCACATTTTCGCTCCACAGCACATAAGTGATTTTGGCAAGGTCTTACTTGGGGGTGAAGCTGGGAAAGCACAAGGGAACTCCACGAGAAATGGACATGTGCTGATAACAAACCTAGGATGCTTCCTACAACTAAGTAAAGAGAAGAGCCCCCAGTCCTTTTCCCACGCAACACCAAGCCTAGCAGACAAGGACTGCAAAGCCACATAGTTGAGGAGAGAGCATCTGAGGATGCAGCCACATATGTTTTTTAAAACTTAGCCTATTATAATGACAAAAGATAAATGTGATGACTACCACTCATAGTGACTAACAACTGCAGACTCTGTCAACAACCCTCCCATACAGACAAGCATCCTGTCTCTCAGAGGTAACCACTTCTCCTGCTACAAGCCCTCAGGTGTGTTGTCCAGTGCCTCCATTCACCTACGCTACCTGGATTTGTTCCACAGTGATTTCTGAAGAGTTCCCTAACTGATCTTAAGGTAGGAAATTCATGGTGAGACTGTAGTTGGCATAGAAATAGTATCACTTTCCATCACTGAAGCTACCCAGTGAGCCTGACATGTTTCAGGATGCAAGAGGCTGCCTGCGCTGGGAGAAGCATCAGCAAAGGACAAGAGGGTGATGAGGGTATAGTGTTGAGTCTTGACTTTAGTCCTGAAGTCCACTGGTCATCAAGGCTGAGCCTCCCCTGCTGAAGCAGGCTGGGAGAAATGCTTTCCACAGCAACAGCAGGGGAGCAATGGAAAGGACCAAGCTTGCTTGCTCTTCAGGACTTGGAACGCAACTCTGTGTGGTACGTTGACCAGGACCCTGAGTGAAGAATGTCCTATTTACCTTAGGACAAATGACGGAGAGCTCAGCCTTGTTTCTCACTTCTTCCATGGGATTTTGACATTGTTTTGGACTAGAAAAAGGTTTGGGAGTTATACTTGTGAGGCTTTTTTTCAGTTGGCTGCAACAAAAGCCATGCACTTACTTCTGTGAGTACTCACACATAAAAACAGCTCTAATACCTGACATGAAGTCAGTTGAGTTATGAGTGGGCAAAAGTATTTCAGACAATTCTCAGGAAAGTCAGAAACAGATTAACATTTTACAGCCCTAAACCTGATGGTTTTGCTCTCAAACTTTCAGAAATTAATTCTGTTCTTGGCCTCTAGTGCTCCTGTGACATTTTAGGCCCAGGAGATTTGCTTGCACCGATTTGGAGAGGAATGAAAACTCAAGATCAAAAAAGAGAACTGATATCACCTTTAAATTGCACGGTTCTGACCAGCAGCTCCATAAATACACTTCTGAACTTGGTGCTAAAACCTCTTGACAGCAAATCACAGGATGCAAGCACATCTCCCATGTGCCCTGGGCTCTATTTTTTGTGTTTCACATTTATTCATTACATCCCATTGCCCTTTCCAAGAAATACAAGCGAAAAAGCAGAACCTCAGCTAGCAAAAATTGTCAGCTTAAACCTGCTTAGCATCTGGCCTGAAGAACTTCCAGTGCTTCACTTTTACATACCTGAACAAACATTAAGAGAAAAACCTGAGCACTGTGAGGTAAGAGAGTGATGTTGGGCTTGCTGTTAGGGTTCACTTCTTTATGGTTTTATTTGAAATATTACTTTATTATGGCAGTAGAGCAAGATGCCACTCAACCGAGTTCAGCAGAGGGCCAAGCCCTAAGAGAGCATCACCTCTAGTAAAGTCACCAGAGCCAGAGCTTGAGCCCATGACCATCCATGCTACTACACTGTTAACATGATCCCTAACAGTTTCACACCACCCTCATATAGTTCCCAGGAGTGGTCCAGGGCTGAGCCCAGACCAGGCTCTGGTCCCAAAAGCCAGCCTGGGCTCATCCACTGTCTCTCGAAGGATACAAACACTTACTGAATACTTGCAGGTCAATTTATGCCAGTTGGCCTCAGGGCTGGAGAATGGGGACTAGACTCTTTTTTATTTATTAATATGGATGTTGACGAAAACACTAATGACCTTATTCAAACTACTCTCTGTCCATGCACACCCAATGCTGGTAATAACATCTTCCTGGGGATAAAAACAGAGTAGAACAAAGTCTTGTGGCTGGATTTACAGAAAGCACAAAACTTGACCACAGGTGACTAATGAAAGCAACATTTACTCAAGAAATCTCAAAATGTTTCTGCAAAAGTTGCAGATACACCATTTGCAAATTGGTTTGCTTTCTGCTGTATGTGATCTAGTGTTTTAATGAATGGAGGCACATGTACATTTATTTCCATTTTTATGTTATCGTGAGGTTTGTGATGCTTTTCAAGACTTTTGGAATTGGTCCCAATGATTCCCAAAGTAACTTTGATTACTTTGACAGTAAGCTCTCAGATGCAAAGATTGTCTTTCCCCACATGTATTTATTTCTTTGAAGGGTCAGAAACACATTACCAGGACAAGGAAGTCTCCAGTTAAGCTGGAGTCTCTTCATGCCACAATAATGATAATACTCAGGACCCAGACCTTGTTTTACAAATAGCCAGGACACTCTGAGACACAAGGAATCAGTTGCTGGAACATATATACCTTGTTTTGCAACTTTTCTTAAGAAACAAAGCCTTCTATCTGGACACACACAGAGATGTATTTTCCTTGCCATCACCCTTGATAATGGTAAGAGTCTGCAGGCAATATCCTTCTTGCTATGCATCTGATTAGGTAGAAATTCCTCTAGGCTTCACCTAATCACATGCAAGTGCTGCATTATTTATGGAAGAAAGCTGAATTTCATTAAACTTATTCTACAAGAAGAAATTCATGTAACAAAATATATTTCTCCTTTTTTTCAGAAATCAGAATAATTTTCTTTTAAAACCTACATTCACGGGTAATTATAATAGAAGTCTTGAAATGGCAAAATTACTTTAAAAAGAAGAAACCAATCCATAAAAGTATATTTCAAATCAGACAGGGATTTAATTTCTAAAGAGAAGACAAGTAGGATGTTTCCCTGTTGCAGAATGAATAATTCAAATGATTCCTCCAGTTCTGTATCTGCAATTGTCAGAATAAATTTAAGCAGTTTTCCCTTTAACTATTACAGGTATGCACTGCACAAGAATTCCTGCTAGTAATTATCCCCACCTCTTTTAAAAACACTAGCAAAATTCCCTCTAACACCACTGAACAAAAGCCTTATTGACTTGCACAGTCAAGAGATTCCCAGTTTCACAAGAAGATACCAGGCATATATAGTCATCAAAATGCTGATGACCATTTATTTTGCTTTTTAATTTAATGATGTTATTACTGAAACATTAGTTAAAAAAAAAAAAAATTGAGGGGTTTTGTTTGGCAACATATCTGAACTACAAGACAATTCCAGAAAAAGGAGAAAGGGAGGAAATTTGTGTGAATTTGTTGTCATGACTACAACCTATAATCCACCAAGAATTTTAATTCTTTTAATACAGATTGAGGGAGACCATTTAAACAACTGGCAAGCCCTGTTTGCAGTCCTGCCTTTAAACAGCCCTTGGTCAGAGGTATTCAGGGGACAAAAGGCATTAGCGCGACAACTCCCCACTCGCACTT